GAGCAAGTGGGAGGGGAGCTGTTGCATTGTGGTAAACTGTGGTCAATGACATGAGACAAAGTACATGTGAACTGCTGTATGGAAAGTGAATTTGCTCTGTAAATCTTTATCCAAATCACAATAAAAAAAGAAAGAAAAACACAAACGAACTTGCTACCTTTTAAAAAGTTAGCTGTACACACCTAGCACCCAGATCTTGATTTCCAAATATCATCCTCCACTAATGGAACCAGGACTCCTCAATGTAATGGCTGATTCCAGGGCTGGGGCAAGGAAAGACAATCTGAGCATCAAAATAAATAATGATAGAAATGAATTATAGTGTGAGTAAAGTAAGAATTCATGAGTCCATAGTAATATAAAAAATTATTAAATAAAGGAGGGGAGATAGAAAGAGCTTCCTTATTGTACAAAGCTAATTAATAAATATAAAAGGGATTATTAAATTAGAAAAATCACCATGTGCCAATCATCACAATGATAACTAATTCAGGCCAGAATGATCAATGAATGCTACACTAATGGAAAAAAGTTTGAGAAGTAAGAAGATATTTACAATCTCAGAGTAAATCCCCACAAGACACAATTAAGATTTATAGAGAAGAAAGCTGGCAGACAGCACCTAACCCACTGATCAAAGATAGCATTGTCAGTAATGGGACTAAAAGAGAGTTTGTGTTTCCAGTATGATGTCCTGCGAATAACTCAGTATTATGTTTATGATTCCTAATTATAAGAAAACATCAGACAATTCAACTGAGGATCATTCTACAAAATAACTGGCCTGTGTTCCTCAAAAATGTCAATATGATGAAATCCAAAGAAAGACTCAAGAAGTGATTAAACTGATTGAATATAACACATGGTCTTAGATTTTCTTCTGTTATCTGGGCATTATCGGGACAATTTAAAAAAATACGTCAATAAGTTATATAAATTAAATAATAGTATTGTTTCAATGTTAAGTTTCTGATTTTGATAACTGTCCTGTGGTTATAAAGGAGGACTACTTGTTTCTAAGAAATGAAAACTGAAATATTTAGAGGTAAAGGGTGAAGGGCATCATGTCTGCAGCTTTCTATTAAGTAGTTCATAGAGACATGCATTGAAGGAAGAAAGGGGAATAGAAAAAGCAAATTCAACAAAATGTCAGTACTTTGGGAATCTAGTTTCTGTTCTTGCAAATTCTCTGTAAATCTAAAACTTTTAAACAATTAAATTGGATGTAAAGTGATATATTTGTCAACACTTACAGAACTATGTCCATTGCAGACCTGTACATAGCAGAATTTAAATTATACTTCAATTAAAAAAATATATAGGTTTATTCTAGATGTTTTACCAAATGTTGATGATTACAACATTTCAATAATTGAGAATACAGCTTAGCAATCCATCAAGGACTAAATCAAAATGAAGATTATGATAATGCCATCCCTACTTTATTTAAAATTCAAAATTAGATAAGCTAGCACCAGTTGGTCTGACCATGCTATCTGTGACCACAATGACTAAGGGCTCTATGGGCCTTTGCTATCTTCCTGCCACACTCCCCCATGACAGCTTCAGTGTGCTCAGCTCAGAAACACAATTAGCTATACTCCCTCACTAATCAAGCACCAAATACACAGACTTGTTACAATTAATTAAAAAAAAAAAAAAAAGCCAAAAATGAAGGTAACAGTCCCTGAAGGGTACACACACTGCTAAGTGTGAAACCTTAGGGGAGGCACTTCTGCTGCTGCCAAAGCCTACTGCAGAAGCTAGCCTAGGACCTGGCTTAGAACCTAGATTAATATCTTAAAAAGTACAGCTGACCTTTAAAAAATACAAGTTGAAACTGTATGGGTCTACTTACACATGGATTTTTTCAAGCTATGGATCTTAGAGAATTTCAAGAGCTAACAGACACCACACCAGAGGAATTAACAGAAGACGACTTGATGGAGATAAGTGTTTCCAAACCAGTGCCAGACAATGAGGAAGAAGATGTACAAGAAACAGTGCCAGAAAACAAACTGGTATTAGACAACCTAGCCAAAGAGTTCTGATTATTCAACACTGCTTTTGACTTTCTTTACAACATAGACTCATCCACGACGCAGGCACTGAAACTAAAGCAAACGGTGGAAGAACTTTTTTAGAGAAATGAAAGCAAAAATATCAGACAGAAATTATGATGTATTTCCAAAAAGTTACATTGAATGTGCTTGCCTCTCCTTCCTTCCTTTCCACCTCTGCCACCCCTGAGACAGCACGACCAACTCCTCCTCTTCCTCCTCCTCCTCAGTCTATTCAGTGAGAAGACAAGGATGAAGACCTTTATTATGATGATCTACTTCCACTTAATGAATAGTAAACAATCATTATGATACACAGTTAACAAACTTATCAGTTGTATATGTGTGTGAGTGTCTTTGTGTGAAAATCTAATAACTGTATAGCATGAACTATACAGCATGAACTGTGTTAATTGACTGTGTTATCAGTAAGGCTTCCAGTCAACAGTGGGCTATTAGTAGTTAAGGTTTTGGGGCTTAGTGCCCCAACCCTCACACTGTTCAAGGGTCAACTGTCTATTAAAAGATTATTAATAATATAATAAAAACAAAACTCCTTGTCATCAAGGTGATTTTGACTCATGGCAACCCCACATCTTACAGAGAAGAACTTAGCTCCATAGGGTTTTCTTAGCTGTAATATTTTTTTCTTTTTTTTGTGATTTGGGTGAAAGTTTACAGAACAAATTCACTTTCCATACAGCAGCTTTGTCTCATGACATTGACTACAATTTACCACAATGCAACAGCTCCCCTCCAACTTCCTCCACATAGTTACCCTTCCCTGTGTCCTTCCCTCTATGCACTCCTGCCCCCTGACCTGTCTCCCTGTGCATACACAGCCCTTCTACTCTCCCATGATTGTTCTCTCCAAGGAGTGTATCTACCTAATGTAAATGTTCACCTCATATGTATGTCTTTTGTTTGGCTGGATGCTACAGGAGTGGGTTCAATTCCAGACCTGAAGGGCAGCTCGGGGCCATAGTCTCGGGGGATCCATCAGGCTCCAGAAGACCAGCAAACCTGGTCCCATTTTTTTTTTTTTTTTTAAATAATTTTGAGTTTTGTTCCACATTGTTCTCCCACTCTATCCAGGATCTCCTACACAGATCCCTCTCTGAGTGGATGACAGTGGTAGCTGGGCATCATCTAGTTCTTCTGGTCTCATAATCATATAGGCTGAGGATCGCATGGTGTGCCAGTTGCTTGCACTAATTGTTTCCATGAATCTTTGGTTTTCTTCATTCTTCTTTGCTCTGGATGAGGAGAGACTCATCGTTGCATCTAGATGGCTGCTTGCAAGCTTTAAAGACTCCAGTCACTACTCACCAAAGTAGGATGTGGAACAATGTTTTGTGTAGTATGTTATGCTACTTGAGCTTGATGTCCCCTGTGACTATGGTCCCAAGCCCACAGAGGGTAGCTGGCTTTGGCCAAGAAGTTACTACAGCTCTATTATATACTTGGGAATTCTTATAGAACATACCAATACTCTTGTAGAAACACTGTCTACCAACCATATACATGGCCTTGGGCACACTCCCCCTGCATAGATATACTTAATAGTTCTGCCTGTCCACCCATCTATCCCCCATATATCAATGTTTGCCTTCACTAACAACATAGTACTGTATGTGCAAAAGGGTTCATCTTTGTTGTCTGTACCTCCCATGTACCTCTCTATAGACAATTCTTAGCTGTAATTTTGATGGAACCAACTCACCAGGCCTTTTTTTCTTAGAGCTGCTGGGAAGGTGTGAACTACTAACAGTTCAGTTAGTAGCTAAGAGCAAATTGTTTGCACCCCCAGGGACATACTAATATAATATGACTATTAAATTTGACTATTTTTTAAACTGCCAGTATTTTTGGAAAATACTTATAAAAGAAAATGATGATAAAAGTTTCATACCTTGTTGTAGAAATAGTATAAATTCCCTTACAGTTTGGTCCAAATTAACTCCATGATATACAATAGGTTTGAAATTGCGGTGTTCAAATGAACGAATGAGGCGAACTGTAATTGTCACTTCTTCAGAAGCCATGTGAAGAAAATCCTGTGGCAAAAGATAGAAAAACAGTCAAAATAAACTCACAATTACACACAAGTAAACAGCCTGTGTTTTCATTATCAGCTCCAGGGCACCTAGCCCCATCTCCTCAATGCTCTAACTAACCCCAAATTCCAAACCCAAATTCCTAGGCACCCAAAATTCCCAAGGTTACTCCTAATTATCCACTGTGGTTGTGGACAACTCTGTCACTAATGTAACAAGCAGAAAATTGTCAGGGCCCCAAAGATGAATAAAAGTGATATAGGTATATGTATGTCTACATGGGTATGTATGTGCATATGTATGGGAAGAAGTATGGTTACCAAACACAGATATATGCTTTGGATTTTTCGATGCTCAATTGGCCTTGAAAGGGAATTACATTTATATTAGAGTCAACTATCAATAGATATCATGAATGCTGTGAGCTTCAGGTATTGATTTAATTATATTGTGTGGTTTTAACCATTTTTCACATTATTACTAATTTCAAGATAAATATTTCATCTTATGTCCTAGTCCTATGTGCCAGAAGTTTTAAAATGTTATCTCATCTAATTCTGTCCCTAAATAGGACTCATTTTAAACGTGAGGAAACAAATCCAGAGATATCACATAAATTGTCCATGGTCATAAAACTAATAAATGATGAAGACATGATTCAAGCATCGATTTAATTCCAAAGCCATGACCTTTCTAATCACCCCAAATCATTTTCCACCAAAAATCTGGAAAGTTGCCAATGGTTTTAAGATTCAATTAGGGGAGACTTCTGGTAACATGGAGTCTTACAAGCAACACAGACCCTCTTCAACAAAAGAAAAACCAATTGATAGAGATACAGAAGATAATCCTGGAGCCCTGAGCTTTGAAGGAACTATACAGAAGTGGATTAGGCACCAACTAGTGGAAAAACCTGAACGAAAACAGTGAGTACAGAGACGGTCTGAGCTGCAGACTGTCAGCTACTCTGATGAGACCAACAACCTGAATATTTCCAAGTGGTGTTGGGACTTGAGAATTGACCTAAAGATCAGACCCAGTCACCAAGGGCTGCAGGGACAACTGCTCTGGTAGCCTATGACTAGGAAGGGAAACAGCAAGGAGGGAGACAACCTGAGCTGTGGACTTTCTGCTGTCCAGAGGGTGCAGCCACTTTGATTATTTACACGTGGCAGTCATTTTGGATATTTAAAGTGACCGAGGGCATTTTGAACGTTTACAAGCGGTGGCCATTTTGGATATTTAAAGTGACCATGGGTGCAGCCATTTTGAATGCTTACAAGTGTTGGCAATTAGGATATTTAAAGTTACTGAGGGTGCAGCCATTTTGGATTTTAAAGTGATAGCATTCTCATTCAGATTCCAGGGACCTAAGAACAGGATCTGATTGCCAGGGTCAGCAAGGACATACGAGAGGCTGACAAAAGAAAGGAGACAGGTGGTGAGTATAAAAGTGCTGTCAACTAGTGAACAGAGGAGCACAGCACAGAACCCTGCCTACATAGATAACATACAAAGAAAACGAAAATTATGGGAAAGTCACTCCAACATATAATCAACAATTAAATATAAACACAAAAACGTCAAAATGTCTCAGAGTAAGCAGAGCATCACATTTGTTCTTTCCACACAAAGAAGCAAGATAAAGCAGGAGAAACAAGAGACCAGGATACAGACCCAAAACACATCCCTGAGGAAGACGCAGCATTGGAAACTCCCTGATAAGGAATTCAAAAGAATTGTATTTAGGTATCTTCAAAGGAATGAGAGACAGGCCAAGATAAACACGAAAAAAACCCTAGAAGAATTTTGGAAGAAAATACAAGAACAAAATGACAAAATAAATGAAAAATTAGAAATGATTTTAAATCTACAGATAGAAACCCAGAAGATTAATACTAAATTGTCAGAAATAGATAACA